CTGTGATTCTGATGGGCTTTCCTTTGTATGTGATTTTTTTCTTTTCTTTAACTGCTTGTAGACCTTTGTTCTTCTGTTGGGTTTCTGGAATCTTAACAATTATATGCCTATGTGTACATTTTTTTTTGATCAAGGCTAGTTGGACTCCTATATGCCTCACTTATCTCTAGGTCAAATTCTTTTCACCTGCTTGGGAAGTTTTATGCCATTACTTATGTGAAGAGTTTTTTTATGTCATCTGCACTCTCTTCTGTTTCTTCTTTGACTCCAATCAGTCTTATGTTCTTCTTTGCATCGTCTAGCAGCTCCCAGATTGATTTCTTGTGTTCCCTTACACTTTTGAAGCAATTTTTCTTTCCCTGGTCACTAATTGCAATCTTATCTTCTATATCTGAAATTCTGTCCTCACACTGGCTTATTCTGCTGCTTAGACTTCCAATGGAGTTTTTAATCTCCTGGAAATCTGTTTGCATCTGTTTTACAGATTCCCTTTCCTATGTTGGTATTTCATCATGTTTATCAGCTCCTCTCTATATTTATTAATTATGTCTTGCACTACTAGCACAATCTCTGCTGTTATCGAGAAATTATTTCTGATTTCATTTTTTCCAGCTCCTCTTTTGTTGCCAGTTCCTGGAGTCCAGATGGTTGAGTATCAGAGTGTTCCATCTCATTTCCCTTTGGGGTTGCTGTAGGTGATCTGGAAGTTTGGTTTTGAGACTTGTTTACGTGTCTTCTCATTTTGATGGGGTGGGGTGGAGGGTGCTGCTGGCACTGTGCGGCTCACCTCCTCTGAGCTGGGAGTGGTGGGACCGTGGCCCAGAAGCCCCTTCTTCTGAGCTGGGAGCAGTGGAATGGCAGCCCAGAAGCCCCTTCTTCTGGGCTTTGAGCAGTGGAAGGGCAGCCCGGAAGCCTCTTCCTCTAGGCTTGGAGGGGTGGAACCATGCCCCAGAAGCCCCTTCCTCTGGGCTGGAAGCAGTGGAACCTTAAACATGTATTTTAACCAGAATCTTGGATGGTATCGATTGGGATATGCCACACACCCCCACACCCTGTAAACTTGCCAGTACCAGTCATTACAGTTTCTCCATTAGGATGTTAACCATAACATTTCCCCCCCTCCCTTCTGTCTGGTCTCTGTAGCTTGATGTTGTTGGGGACAGTGCTGTGGACGAATTTGAAAAGCAAAGGCCAAGCAGAAAACAGAAAAGTTTAGGACTGCTCTGCCAGAAGTTTCTAGCTCGGTATCCAAGTTATCCCTTGTCAACTGAGAAAACTACCATCTCCCTAGATGAAGTTGCTGTCAGTCTTGGTATGTATCACCAGATTATCTGGAGGCCTGTCTCCAGTCACAGTGGGAAACTGGTTTCCTTGGGCAGGCCAAAGACTTCAGGTGGCCTCTTTTATAAACTAAAGAGTGGGCCTTTCACTTGGGTGAGAACAGAGAAGCAGGCGGAGCTTCCTTCATCATCAGTATCTCTTTCTGTGTAAAATTCCAGGAAGCTTCCTAGACAGGGCCAAACAAATTCAGGGTTGTTTTGGGTTTTTTCTAACCTTAAAAAATATTTTTGTAAAAGAATTATTTCTTGATACTTATATTATAAATTAATATCATATTTCACTTTACCTTTATACAGGTACAAAAAGCTTTTAGAAATATCCTGGTTTTTTCTTTTTAATAATAAGTTCAGAACTGGTATTATTTCCTTTACACAACAAGATCTGAGTGCAACAGCATTATGTTTGAAGACCTATACCATGATACTCATAGCAAGCCTGTCAAGCTAGAAAATGCACATATGGACATAATGCAACCAGCTAAATCTCATAACAAAGAAGAATACATGTGTTCATGTGACATGAGCATGCATAATGTGATGGATGTATGTAATGTAATGTGTATACTGGTGCTTCAGAATAGAGACCCCTAGTGGGCATGGATTGCAATTGGTTTCTGGATGAACATTTTGACAATAATTAAACAGAAATCACAGTGATTTAAAAGTCTGAGGGTATCCCCTTAAAAAAGTAAAAAGGTTTTACATACAGGAAAATAAAGATTTTGAAGGAATCAACTAAATAAATAAATTACATTTTTTGTTTGTTTCTTCCATAGCCCAGGAAAATGTCATCTGAATTTATTCATTATGTCATTGTGACTATTAATCTGAATTATTCAAGCTGAAAGCTAAGCCGATTTTGGTTGTTGGAAACCACAATAATAAGGAAGTTGTGATGGGAAGATCATGAGTTGGGCTTTGGGTCAGATAGGACTAGATTTGAAGCCCAACCCTAGAATTTATAGGCTATAAAAGCTTTTAAGTTAACCTTTTTCTTTTCATAACAAGGAAGCACAGTACCTACTCTGCAGGGACTTTATGAAATTGGCAATAATGGGAGTAACATGCCTAATTCAGTACCCAGAATGTTGTCCTTTTTATTACATGGAACATTTTCTACTCAGTACTTACTAGATTCTTTTTCTTTTTTTTTTGTACCGCGGATCAAACTCGGGTCCTTGCACTTGCAGGGCAGGTGGCAGAACCACTGAGTTAAATCCCCGGCCTAGTACTAGATTCTTCTCCAAACTCCTAGCTATTCTGTCAGCCTCCATAATGAGGAAGAGGAAGTAGAGTGCTGGGGTTGGAGAGCCATTTTGGAACTCGGAAGTATAATATAATATTCTAGGATCAAGGCCATCAATCAAGAAGAGGAAACTGTGCTACCTGGACAGAGGCATGGTGTTGAGCTAGTTAAGGCACAGGATTCTGGGAACTAGGCTTATAGAAAATGGAGTCAAATGACTGGTCATTGAGTGTCCTCATTGGGGTTCATAAAGCCCATTTCTTCCAAACACCCAATTTCTGTCCAGAGGTCCTAATACTGATGTCACTGCAGAACACGAAAGATTAGATGTTGGAGGGACATGTTGCAGGTCTTAGGGAGGACAGAAGAATGGACTCTTGTCATCTCAGCTGCAGATCATTCCACAGAGCTCCATGTTATAACAGCCTGGGGCAGAACTGCTGAGATTTTTACAGCAGCTTCCCAATGCCTTGTAATCACCCAGACGTGCTAAGTAAGCATGGCATCTCTCTTCATGTGAGGTTGAAAAATAGGGTTCTTTCCTAGAAACTGTTTCATTATTGATCATTTCCTGGAGTCTAAACACCCTGCTATATCCTGGGTCACAAGTTGCAAGACCATAGTTTAACAAAGGATGTGCAGAGCATTTAAATTGCATTGGTTCCCAGATTCTGGTACTATTAGATTTGACACTGAGATTAGGGGCAAGAATTTAAGAATAGTGAGTGACTTTAGTAACCAGAAAACAGTATACCCTATGAAACTATTTTATTGTGCTGAGAGTTGTTCTTGTTAAGTTCCATAGGGAACTAAACTAAGAAAGCATAGCCACAATCGGAAATCCTTGACTGCAGCTAATGGCATGACTAGGATTAATGGAACAACCTCAATATAAAAGAAAAAAGAGCTGAATACTCTCAGATTAACCTATAGGTGTTGACACCTGTGAGAAATGGAACTCTAGTATACCAGCACCTGAGCAATTAATTCAAGCAAGATTGAAATAGTGTTAGGCAATATGCTGCCATATTGGGTTCCTCTAAAACCACCTACTAAGTACCCACTGTGCATATTAAACATCACTACTCTCCAAATGGTCAGAATCCTTTATTTTCCCTTCTTGGGATATTTAGCCACTAGGTGGAAACTAAGCAGCTCATTATCAAATACAACATAACAAAACAGCAGGGCATATGGCTGGCCCTGGGGTGTTTCTGTTGCATTCACATGACATTTCTAATGGGAAGGTTTATAGAATGTTACACGCTAAACAAAATGTGTTAATATGTGAAAACAGACTGGAATAAAGAACCAGACAGTTCTGGACAAGGGGCTGCTGTCTGCTCCTGCCAGCACCTTCCAGCAGGCAGCTGGCAACGAAGCCTGAGCTTTGGGGGTGACAACCCTTTCAGGGTCATAAGCTGAAATGTTCTGATTGACTGTGAAATGTCTCTTCATGCATGTGATAGGACTTCTTGTCAACCCTAGAGTGTGCCTTGGAATTTGGTGTCTTTCTCACGTTAAATCTTTGACAAGCCCAAAGCTACATTCCTGAATCTGCCCTTATTATATTACAGCTCCTGCCAAGTGAACTGAAAGAGGGCATCTTTGTAGCTGGGCTGGTTTTGTGCAAGGTGCCTGGAGGCTTCGTTATGGATACTTAGATGACAGCAAAAGGGAACAGAGGCCCTGACTGTTGCACAACAGAATGACTCACAGGCATGAGATTTTTCTACTGCACATTTTTGCTTTAGCAGCAATTTTAGGTATCTCCAATACCATTTAAAATACTCAAATGAAATGAATACCTGTTGGGGACCCTTTACATTTATAGATACATTTAATCCTTATCATTTTATGAAATAAATCCTAAGACACACAAAGTTTAAGTAACTTCCCAGGATCACCCAACTAGTAAGGGGGAAATCAGGCACGCAGTCTGACCCCAGAGCTCTCAACACTTAACCACTGTAAATATTTCTGATAATTTTATGAATGACTCAAAATCCTAGGTACATGGAGAAGGTTGGGAAAGTAGAAAAAAAACTGATGAATTTCATGGTCAACCTGTACTAGTCTTTGTGCTTCACTGTTCGACTGTTTGGAAGGATATGGTAAATGAGAACACAGAGTGGTCAGTAGCACTGATGAACAAAAGGAGACTCATCTTCCAACCTGGCTATAGCCTTCTCCAACAACTTAAGATTAGTGCCCAAGCCCAAGAATCTTGAGTTTCCATTTCAAAATAAGAAACATTGTTTCCTATCACTTTTCCTTACTGGGTAATTGAAAGAGTTAGGAATGTAATTATTTTATCACATCATTCAGACTCCAAGAAAGGACAGTATTACATAGGGATGCAGTGTCAGAAATAGATAGTTTATTTTATAGTTGCATAATTAGGAATACAAGTCACAACCATGCACTCATCAAGTGAGCAGTATGACGTATATTGCATAATGCTGCCCATTTTAACGTGCAGAAATGTGTAGTTTGCTAACAAGTCAAAAGAGCGGGTGCTGCACTATCAGGTCATCCAGATGAAACTCACCATCTCCACCTAGCTCTGTTTAAGCGTTGGATCTCAAGAAGAAAAAAGAAAAATAATTTCTGTTGTTTGCATCCTTACAGGTTGAATTTATGGAGCATCCATAGTTGCTGGGCATTACAGTGGGCATCATACAAAGCAGACATGGTCCAAGCCCTCAATGAATTTATACCAAAAGGTTCACCTGCATGGTATCTATTGGCTTCTGTTTTTCAAACAGGTGTGGAAAGGAGACGCATCTATGACATTGTAAATGTGCTAGAGTCCTTGCATCTGGTTAGCCGAGTGGCCAAGAATCAGTATGGCTGGCATGGACGACACAGCCTGCCAAAAACCCTAAGAACCCTCCAGAGACTAGGAGAAGAGCAAAAATATGAAGAACAAATGGCCCACCTACAACAGAAGGAGCTAGACCTGATGGATTATAAGTTTGGAGAGCGTAGAAAAAATGGCTACCCAGATTCCCAAGATCAACAGTTACTGGATTTCTCTGAACCTGACTATTCCTCTTGTGAGTCCATTTTAACCCTATGAATAGTGGCAGAGAGTGTGATGGTTTCTTCTGAAGAGATTTACTGCTCAGAAGAGAAGTGCCAGATTGACAACCCTGGAGGGAAATGTCCTCTTATTCTATCTACTGAAGAAAGGGAGGCAGATGGCTCCCCAGCTGGGCAGCCTACTCGACCTCACTTCAGATCCATCTAGTGGCAGTTCACTTGGTGTTTAGCATGCCCGGACTGTAGATCACCAGTAGTGTTCTTGTTATAGATTGACAACCCCATGCAGTTTTCTTTTCATAAGACTTTACTTTGAAGAAGTTACTGTCTCAAATAATTTTCTTTAATTATATGTTGGGGCAGATTACTTAGAAAAGAGCCCCATTAAGGAAGTTATGAGAAAGATAGGCAACCCCTGCTTTCATTTGGTGCAGAAAGTTTTTGATTTATACCTGCATTTGTCTTTCCTCCCCCTAATATTTTTTCTCTTCTCATTTTAGCCATTGATCTTCATCATTGTTACGCCCCCATCCCTGTTGCTAAGATGATGAAGTACAAGTGCCACTCACATTTTAATTGCAAATATTAGACATGGAAGGAAGGTGGGGCTGGTATTCATTAGCTTCACAGCCTCATGCGTTTTAGTTCCACTCCTTGTGGCTATGCTTATCCTAATAACCAGGGAAGGCATCCATCTGTCGGGGATGGTTTACCTGCCATCCACAGGAGCACACATCTAATAATTCTCCCATGTATAGAAAGCTTGTTTATCCACCTGTTTCTGAAAAGAATTGGAAGAGGTGGGCACCTACTATATTCTGCAAACTGTGAGCTCTCTTTTCTGAGAAAGAAGTTCGATGTTCTGAAAACAGTCTCTGAACCCTACCCTCTCCTTTTGTCTGTCTAAATTAATCTTTTCAAAAAGTTGCTTCAGGAAAACTACCACATGGGTTTTATTACATGACCTGTAAGTATAAAAGTGTTGAGAATGGCTTAAAATATGCATGTAAGAGTTTATGCCTACTGCAGAGTAATTTTGTGAGCCATAAGAAAATCCTGATTTCTGTAGAAGTTGATTTTTGTGATGTGTGTCCAACAGGCTTCTGCCTATAACAAGGGTAATCCTTCCATATACTCTTGGAGCTAGATAGCTCTTGTAAACCATAAGCACAGTCTTTCTTGTAAATCCTGTGTTTGATGCTTATATTTCTTCCCTTTGTAGCATCTGCAAACAGTAGAAAAGATAAGTCTCTGAGAATTATGAGCCAGAAGTTTGTCATGCTATTCCTCGTCTCCAAAACCAAGATTGTTACTCTGGATGTGGCTGCTAAAATATTGATAGAAGAAAGCCAAGATACCCCAGACCATAGTAAATTTAAAAGTAAGAATCTTTGTCTAGATTCCATTTATCACCACAAAAAGGGTGGGATTTCATAGGTTGATGTGTTCTGCTTCTGAGATTAAAAATATATGTGTATTATTTTTGAGAAGTATACTCCTTCCTTTGTTCATAAAGGTTCTTAGTGTTGTGAAAGATTAGCTAGTCACATAATAGAATTTTAAGTTCCTGTCAGAAGGTTTTTCCTCAACTGTTAGGGTAGACGGTGAGAAGCAGAATGCCATCCAGAGGATGACAGCCAGGGAAGGTGTGAATTACTTTGCATTTCTCTTTAGTAACATTGCATCGGAGACAGAATGTCTGAGTTTTCTTTCCCCTTTTCTCCCCACCCCCTGCCTACTCTTCTGAAGGGTGGAGATGAAAGTTGTCTACAGGTAAGAACCAGAGGAACAAACTGCCAGGGTAGGGGTGGTGGGACATGGCTAATGGACAAGGACAGAGTTTCTGAGTGTCAAACCCAGTGCAAGCCTCCTTTTTGATGGCCCCGAGATCCTGAGCCAGTGCCCTGGGCTCCTGATGAGAAGCCATAGGCTCATCATTCTCTAGCTTTTTTGCTTGTTTCCAGCTGGAATGATACTGCATTTTGGGTAAAATAGCTAGATAAAATTCGGCACTGGCAGGATAGAAGTGAAAGCTTGATGTTTCTGGACAGTAATTCAAACTCCTTTGGTTGATTTGAGCCTGGGGATCAAGTGGGTTTCCTATCTGTCAGTCATTTTCTTAAATAGAAAATACTTTATGGTCATTGTCCTGCCTGTTTGATGTGTTGCCACCCCATCTGAATTTTTTCTCTAGTATATGAATTTTTTAAGGGTCTCTCCCAATACTTGTTAAGACTCCAGGAATGCCCATTCCACCCCTCTCCTGCTCCGTGGCCAGAATGCCATGCTTTCAGGTGAGGAGCAGCTGTCTTTAGCACAGTTGTACCTCATGACCTTGAGTCCTGGGTATCCCTTGTGCCCAGATTTATGGCCTCGCAGGAAGCCCTGGGAAATCCCTGTCATCTTCACAGGCCAGCTGCCTTTGAAGTAGGTTCCATGACCTCTTGCTGGGAGAAACACAGGGCAAGGTTTTGACATGCCACATATCAGAATTACATTTTACTAAGCCTTTAGTCATTTCTTCCCTTGGTGTTTTTGCAATCCTGGTGCTCCCTGCTTACTACCAGATGCCTCTTGAAAGAGGTGTGAAGTTGTGAAAGGGAGGAAGGACACACTGACCTTCCCTTAATACATGTCTTCAGATACATCAAAAATATAAATCTTAGGTGATTTCTTAACAGAGCCATTGGTCTTATCCCACCCTGCTGCTTTCCTCTTGAGGTTTATGTGGTGGCATAGAAACATTACTTGTCACATAAACTAAAATGTATCTGTCACAGATGGCATGACCATAATTGTGTTTTATATCTTCAAGCAAAGGTACGACGCCTCTATGACATAGCCAATGTTCTGACCAGCTTGGCTTTGATAAAGAAAGTCCATGTAACAGAAGAGCGAGGCCGTAAACCAGCCTTCAAGTGGATCGGGCCTGTGGACTTCAGCTCCAGTGGTAAGGAGGTGTGATTTTGCCAGGGACCTATTTTATGTAAACTCCTAATTTCTTTTCTAAATCTGACATGTACTACAGAGTGAGATTGATCTTTTCCATAATCTATATCACATACCTAATTGGATTAGTGACCTTACTCTTGAAGCAGTGATCATTACCCTCAAAAATAGCAAAAGGAGCTTATAACGTCGAAGTTTCCATAACTATTAAATTACACCTCTTAATAATTTTTTATTTTGTTCTAGAATTCTTTCCTGGAAGTTTGGAATGAGAATTTTTAAATGACGCTTCTTTTGAGCTCTGGTTGTTTCTATATTAGCAGAATGATACATTGTTTTTTCAGTAAAATCCCAAATAATGTAAAAATTGTATCAGTTATCACAAAACTAATATGTGGTAAGGCTGGTTCTAAATATAGGATGTTATAATGAACACTTCTTTGGTAATTTACTTAAAAGGTTACAAATGTCATAATTTTCCTAAACTAGAATGAAAGAGGGTATTATCTTCTACTTAATTCACAGGTAATATCTGAGCAATCAGAAACTAGATCCTACTGCACCAGGTGCTTTACATGTAGCTGTACTGCCTGGGAAAAGCCATTAACGTTATTTTTAAATTACCCTTTCAATTTTGGCATTGGCGGTATAAATTCATGCCACTTAACTCAGGCTTAGAAAAGATACAGCTTTCTACCTCATTTATGACACATTATTCACTTAGGATCTAGATGGAACCACTTAAAATCAAGTATAACTAATTCAGCCCAGGGTTTTCTTACTGAGTGTGGGCTATGTGCCAATTACTGTACTACATGCCATGAAAAATTTAAGATAGGTGGGATGTTCTCCCTGCCTGCACGAAATATATATCTTTGCCATATCCTGCTTCCCTGCCTTTGGTTTCTCCTTTCTGCCTGTGAAGACTTCTCCTTTTTAACACTAGAAATACAGCCTACTTAACAACAGGCATATGTTCTATGAGATGTGTCCTTTGGTGATTTCATCATAGTGCAAACAGCGCAAAATGCACTTAACACAAACTGGTCTACTACAGAGTCACTAGGCAATACAGTCTTATAGGACCACTGTTATATGTGGTCTGTCCTTGGCCCAAACATCCTTATGACTGTATTCTACTCAACTATCAACTTCATAATGTTTTTCCTGATCACCCAGAGCAAAGAATATCTTGGCTGAGCAATTGCAATTAGATATTGTGTTGTTTTACTTAATGAAGCTGATATTGTAGGATTGGCCTTGGCCTACACATTTGAGACCAGACATCAATATTCATCTTTCTTTATCCCATAATGTATAGAACAGTGCCTTACTCACTTTAGTTAGCAAGTGTGATTGGTTATTGAAAGTAACCAATTAGGACATATTTGAAAGTTAAAGAGCAATTTAGTGCTAGAAAGGGCAGCATTGGCTATAAAGGAATTCAAAGAGGATACCTGATAGACTATTAAGATTTGAAGGAATAGCATAGGAGGTGTGATTAAAAAATAAAGTGAATGTTTAAATTTTTTAGAAGTAACACATTAAAAGACCCATTGCCATAAATGTCCTTCAAAGCACCCCCTCTCCCTTTGAACACACTTCTTGCCACTTGCTGAAGCAGTTCTGGAAGTCCTCTGTTGATGAGGTGTGATAAAATATATGGCAAATGCTGATGCCAAGTGCCATCCAATAGAAAGGGAGGTTCATAAAAACATTACAGTATGTTCTTGTCCATCTTATTCTCTGGATCTAGCACCATGTGACTTCTGACTCTTACTCATGTAGTTAAAAATGACCATGAAAGGTGAACATTTTGAATCAATTCAGGACATCAAGGAAGCCACAACAGTGCAACTGAAGACACTCATGAAAAAGGACTTCCAGAACTGCTTCAAAAAGTAGCAAGAAAAATGAGATAAGTGTTCAGAGCAAAGGGGAGTATTTTGAGGGGATTGATACCAGGTCTTTTACTGTAAAACTTTTTTTAAACGTTCGCTGTACTTTTCAGTCATACATAAGAACAAATCTGGTCTACACTGGAGAGATCAGCCACCTTGATTTAAGTAGAAAACAGAGGTTAAAGAATAATGAAATAAAATTTAAGCAGTTGGGACCACATTTTTGGAAGGCCTGAATAAAGCCAAGAAATTTGCACTGTATGTAATAGAAGTGACAAAGAGACTTTGAACATAGAGATTAATACGTCCTTACCAGCTTGAACCATTGATGATGGTACATCCCTGACTGTCTCATTGGCCAGCCTGTACCACTGGTGGTACAAGTCATACAGTCATATACCAGACAGTTTGAACCACCCAGCAATGAGACATATGAATTGTAGCCCATTGTGGATGTGTTAAGAGGAAAGATGGTAATGCCATTGAAAAAATAAGATCTCTGGAAAGATAAGATGGTGTTGAGAAGTCGAAGAATTCGTGTATTTACATAACCAGTGGGAAAACAACCAGAACTCTGATTTGATCTGGGTTTGGAACTTCACATTGAACTTATTTTCTCCACCCTCAGAAAGCTGGACCTCTTTCTGTATTCCCTAGTTCTGTTACTGATAAGTAACATCATCAACCCAGCAAATGAGTTTGGAAAATCTGAGTACCTTTAATTCCTTGATTCATTCTCCTTTACCTTTTGAGTAGCACTTAAACTTCATAAATGTCTTTCATGTTAAACCTCATAAATGTCTTTCTCTTTCTCCAGTTTGGCAAACTTTATCATACGTAGATGTTTTAATAGCTTTATTGGGGTATCATTGGCATATAATAAACAGCACAAAGTTAAAGTTACAATTTGATGTTTTTGCTTATGTAAAACTTATAGTTATGCACCAGTGAAGTAATCACAGCAATTAAGATAATAAATATATGTATCACCCACAAAAGTCTTCCCCTTCCCCTTTGTATTTCCTCCATGCTGGCCCTCATTCCCATCCTTAGGCAATCTCTGATCCACTTTCTCACACTCTAGGTTTGTGTTTTCACCAAGGTTGATCTCCATTATTTACAGATTACTTGTGAATCTACCTACTAAAATTCATGTGTAACTCCAAAATCAGTATTCATGGTATTTTTCAGAGTCATTTGCAAAAATACAGAAAAGAAAAAAAATTAAGTTGCCTGTTGTACACATTCCTGGATGTGGTCAAATAAGTCTTGTTTAACTTTGCAATCTTTTTAGTGTCATGTTTTCATTTTTGTGCTTTTCATGAGTGATTTTGCTACCTAAAATGGCTCCCAAGGGTGACACCAGCAAGATGACTGACTAAACATGTCTGGTGTCATTCCTTCTACAACAAAGAACCAAAACAAAGAAGAAATATGTTTCACTAGAATATTTGAGGCAGAGCAATGGAGTCAGAGATGTTGCAGAGCGGAGATGGCCTTATGAAGAAGGGAACCAAGTACACAACATCTACTGCCCAGTATGCCAGGTACCTGGGCAATGTACCCTGAGTGGCTGAGCCCTGCAGAGCTCCCTGGGAAACAGCTGGTCCCACATACCCCCCCTGCTGCCCTGGAATCAGCCAAATAACCCTACCCACCCACCATCAGCCCCAGCAAGCAGCCCAGCAGCCAGCCTGGTGCGACTTTTCTCTGAAGATACCCTTGGACTCAGATGTGCAGCTCCACCTGACCACTCTAAGAAGCAGCCGAGAAGCCAGTCCTAAGTACTTTGGCTTGTAGAGCCGCATGGAAAAGGGTTGAATAGCCTTGCCCACTCACCTGTGACTGGAAAGAAGCCAAGCAGCCTTTCCTATGTGGCCCTATCCATTCTCTTATAGCGTCCATATAACAGACACCCTGTCTTCAGACGTTCCACCAGCTGAGACCCCAAGAGGCAGGTCACTGGGTCCTCTGTAGACATTGCTGAAATTGATTACAGCTGAAGAAACTGAACAAAGACTACATTAAAGCACCTACCTGGAACAAAAGCTAACACAGCCTATCCAGATCTCTAGGACAGTGGTGCTGATTATGGCACGTGTAATGTTTTTCTTTTAAGACAAAAGATGTTAATGTAAGATGTTAATGTTTTTTCTAAACAAAAACCTCAGTATTCAGGTTCAATTGCAGTACTGGCACTGTGATAAACAAGTGGGTTTTGGGTTGCAGTTTGGGCACTTGTCTCTAAAAGGTCACCATCACAGCACTAGGACATTACCAGGAGAAAGTCTTTTACTATGAATGACAACCTATGAAATTAGTAGAGTCAGCTGCTCTGCCAGATGCACAAACGTCAAAATAAGGACACAAGCAGCATGAAAAAACAAGGTAATATCCTTCCAAAGGAACATAGTAACTCCTTAGCAACAGAGTTCCAAAAAAAAAAAAAAGAAAGAAAGAAATTGATGAAATATCTTACAAAGAATTCAAGAGAATGATTTTAAGAAGCTTACACCACAAGTGAAAGTCTAACTACCATCGTGAAAACACATGAAAGTACAAAACTCATTAACAGAGTAGATGCACAAAAATAGAAGAAAAACCTTATCATACAGAAACCAAACCACAGAGCTAACCAAGAGAGGAAGAAGGGAGCAAAGATTATACAAGACAAGAAAAATGAAAACTAACAAAATGATAAGAGTGTCTTATCAATAATAACATTGAATGTAAACAGATTATGTCCCCCAATTAAAAGATATAGACTTCCTGAATGGGTATAAAAACAAGACCCAGTGATGTGCTACCCACAAGAAAATCACTTCACTAGCAAAGACATGTAGGATGAAAATGAATGGATGGAAAAATATGTATCATGCAAATGGAAACCAAAGCAGGTAGGAGTAGCTGTATTTATCAAATAAAATAGACTAAGTCAAAAACCTTAAAGAGATGAAGGTCACTGTAATAAAGAGATCAATCAACAAGAAGAAATTTTAGAAATGTGAATATATATGCACCCAACACTGAAGCACCCAATTGTATAAAGCCAACATTATTAGATCTAAAACAAGAAATGAACTGTAATACAGGAATAGTGAGATTTCAGTATTCCTCTTCACTAGTGGACATATCCATATAAAAAAATCAACAAAGAAACACTGGAGTAAAACTACACTATAGATCAAATGGACCTATCAAATATTTACATAATATCATGCAAAAAGTACAGAATACATTCTCCAAGATGGAGTTTGTCAGACCACAAAACAAGCCTTCAACAATTTTTTTAAAATGGAAATCATAGCCTATATCTTCTCTAATAGAATAAAACTAGAAATCAACAAAAGAAACTTTAAAAATTGTACAGATACGTAGTAATTAAACAGTATTTTCATGAATCACCAGTGAGTGAAGAAATCAAAGGTGATATTTAAAAATTTTTTGAAACAAATAAAAATAAAAGACAACATGCCAAAACGTATGCTGAGATTTAGCAAAAGCAGTACTAAAAGAAGTTTAAAGCAATCAAGCGGCTAAATCAAAAAGAAATTGCTTTTAAATACCCTAGTAGTGCAATTGAAGGAACTACAAAAGAAAAAACTAAACCCAGAATTAATAGAACAAAGATTAGAAATGAGAGACTAAAATAAAATAAAATAAAAAAATAAATGAAGTGTCTTTTTTTTTTTTTAAGATAAACTGACAAACCTTTCACTAGACTAACCAAGACAAAAAGAAAATACAAGCACCAGGGACTTAGCTCAGTGGTTTCACCGCCTGCTGAGCAAGCACAAGGATCCGAGTTTGATCCCTGGCACCAAAAAAAAAGAAAAAAGAAAATACAAGCAAATAAAATCAGAGATGAAAAAGGAGACATTACAACAGATACCACAGAAATACGGAGGATCACTAGGGACTGTTATGGACAACTATATGCCAACAAATTGGAAAACCCAAAAGAAATGCACAAATTCCTAGACAAATATAATCTATCAAAAAATGGACCATGAGGACCTAGAAAATTTGAATAGGCTAATAATCAGTAACCATAATGAATCAGTAGTAAAGTCTCAACAAAGAAAAATCCCAGGACTGGATAATTTTACATTTTTCTTGGTAGAGCTCACGGAGATTTTTTTGCCCTTTTGGTTACTGTTAAGTTGTTTGCTTTTTTACTGTTGAATTGTGAGAATTATATATGTATTCTGCATACAAGTCGTTTATTGGCTAGGTAATTTCCAAATATCTTCTAATCTGTGGCTTTATTTTTTCATTCTTTTGATAAAATTAATGAATTAACCATGTCTTGAAAGTCAGAAGGTCTTAATTTTGAGAAAGTCCAATTACTTAGTTTTTTGTCTTGTGAATCATGTTTTTAGTTTGTATCTAAGAAATCTTTACTTAACATAAAGTCACAAATATATAATGTATGGACTAATGGACTTTGGGGTGGTGGTTTGGCACAGAAATTCCTACTTGTATGAACAATATATAAAACAATCGTCTCTTCTCTACCAAATTTCCTTTGTACCTTCATTGAAAATAAACTGACCATATGGATACAGCAGTATTTTTGGATTCTCCAAAGTGTTGCATTAGTCTATTTGATAAAACAGGAATAATGGCCTCTTAAAACATTTTCAGAAATAGTTCCTCCCAAGTAATAGTATTTATAGAATTAGTGTTATATTTTTTCCTTCAGTGTTTGTAAAAGTTCATTAATGAAGCCATCTGTCCCTGCAATATTCTGTGAGATTTTTAGCTTCAGATTACAATTTCTTTAATACCTATGGGCTATTCTGTTACTTTCTTCTGCTTTGAGTTCAGTGTATTCTTATCCTAGTTTCTTAAGTCATGAATTTGAGCCCTTTCTTTTCTAACATACATTTCAGTACTATAGATTCTCTCTTCTTTAGGTGTATCTCACAAACTTAGATATGTGTGTTCATCTTCTAATTCAAAATATTTTATTTTCCATTTTGATTTCTTCTTTGACCCACAGGGTATTTAGACATGTATTATATAGTTTCTAAATATTCTTTGGTTTTCCAGTTATCTTGCTCTTACTAATTTCTTTCCTTGTGGTCAGAGAATATACTTTGTATAATTTGAATTATTTTAAATTTATGGAGACTTGTTTTGTCAGCGGGTATAATCTATCTTGGTAAATATCTATCTTTTTGGACTTAAAAAAATGTATAATCTATTGTTGGATAGAATGTTCTAAAAATGAGAATTAGGTTAGGTTGTCAGTGTTGTCCAGCTTGTTTATACAATATCTTTATTTTCTATTAATTATTGATGGATATTGAAATTCTGATTATAATTGCAAATTTGACTATTCTTACAAGTCTATCAAGTTTTTTTCTGTGTATTTTTTATTAGTACATGTTTGCAGTACATACGGTTTACAGTCATCTTGAGGAGTGGATACATGTACATAATACAACTTGATTCTTTTTTAAATCCCCTTCCCTCCCTCCTCTGAATCCCCCTTCCCTATTTTCATTCTTGCTGATATTATTAATCTTTTCTCATGTTTATGAGATACAGTGTTTATATTCATAGAAGTTATTAGGTTCCTGTACGTGGCATATCTTTATTCTGTTCATTCCCCTTCCCTCCCCGCTCTCTTTGCACCCACGTTCTCTTGGACCTCTTCCCATTTGCAAGAGATATATCCCTTTGTCTCCTATCATCCTTATTGTTCTCTTTTTTGTACTTTGCCTTACTCAAATGAGATACTGTACAGTATTTGAGCTTATGTGTCTGATTTATTTCACTCAACATTGTATTTTCCAGGTAAATCCATTTTCCGACAAACATCTCAAATCTGACCTTTATTGCCCAGTGGTATTCCATTGTGCATACATACCACATTTTCCTTATCCAGTCATCTGTTGATAGATATCCTGGCTGCTTCTAGGATTTTGCTGTTATGAACTCTACTGCTATAAATGTCAGTATGGATGTATGCATGTAGTATGATGTCTTAAGCTCTTTGGGGAAGATACCTTGAAGGGAGATAGCTAGGTCAAGATGGAATCTCTGTACTGATTTCCATAATGTTTGTACTAGTTTACATTCCCACCGACAATGTAGCAGGGTTCTTTTTTCACTGCAGCCTCGCCAGCATTTGTTATTTTTTGATTTCTTAATAATTGCCATTCTTTCTGGTCTAAAATGAAATCTCAGTATAGTTTTAATTTGCATTTTTCTAATGCCCAGTGATGTTGAGCTTTTTAGATATTTGTACTTCTGTCAAATGTCTATTTATTTCACTTGTCCATTTTTTGATTGGATCTTTTATTGGGGGTGTCTAATTTTTGGGGGTTCTTTATATATTCTATTTATTAGTCCTCTGAGGAATAGCTGGCAAAAAAAAATTCCCATCTATAGATTGTATTTTCTGTCTGTTGTTTGTTTCTTTGACTGTGCAGAAGCTTTTTAATTTGATATGATCCCATTTGTTGATTCTTGGTACTATTTCCTATGCAACCAGGATTTCTGTTCAGAAAGTATTCCCTACTCCTATGACTTCAAGAGTTTTACCTATTTTGTCTTCTAGGAGGTTAAGTGTTTTTAAAGTTACATTAACATCAAAGTGTGCATTTTATAAAATGTAAGTCTAGTTGGATTTTTCAGTGTGTTAAATCAGTATTGTAATCAAAGTACTATTTTGAGCTTGGAAAAAAAAATTAGCACAAACAAGCAAGGATAGATTCACTGTCTGAATAGCAGAATTGGCTGCCTAACTCTAGATGAGCAGCTCTGCCTTGACTTTATACAGGCACCTTTAAGCTCAAAATGGTCCTCCAAGCACCAATCCTCTGTTATCCTTACTGTTCTGCGCCATTTCAACCATGAAGTCTGCTGACCTTTCTCCTGTGATCACTTAGTAACTGAACCTCCTGCTGCCTAAGAAAGAAATAATAAAGCCTAATAATAGCAAATAGTGATTCTTCTACTCATTGCCTGAGAGTTTTAGTGTAAGAAGCAGATTTCAATTAATCTGTAAAGTGAATCTCAAAATATGCATGGTTGTGCTGAGTGTGGTCAGGTTTTCCTTTGATACTCTCTGCCCAACAAAGCATTAAAATGTCAGGCCTGTTCCAATTTGGGTTGAAGAACATCTTGCTCTACTTTCATTGCAGTTCAGATAATTTTAGAATATATATGATTCATTCTCACTTTATAGTCATCCACTAACTTTTTAAAAAAAAAAGGAATATGTCAAAAAATGGGGTTTGAGACAAGACTCATAAAATTCCTTTGTCTTTCTTTTTTATTTATAGGGTAACTGTTCCAATTATAGGTTCAAAGTCATCTCTTGAAAAAGACTAAAATTATCCTGAATTACAGCTGTATAACAACACTACCAATTCTCTCATTTATTTAGATGATGAACTAGTGGATGTTTCTGCATCTGTCTTACCAGAATTGAAAAGAGAAACATATGGCAAGATTCAAGTCTGTGCAAGACAGAGGCTGGTTCGTTATGGTTCCTTTAACACAGTTCAGACTTCTGAGAGGATGGAGAGGAAAGTGATCTCAGAACCCAGCAGCCCATACAGAGAAGAACAAGGTACCTGCCCTTGCTTACTCCATGAAATCCATCAAGTATCGTGTAATTGTAGCCTTACCCATATGCTGACATTTTTAAATGATCTGATTCTAGATCCTGACTATTTTTTCAGAGGTCTACTTTTCACTTGCCTAAAGTAAAACAATTATTGGCAGCAAAGGAGATGCTGACTTCACAGTGTGTAAACATGGCCCCATGCCTGAAATTGATCCAGTCAGCCTTGATCAATTGGTTTGCCATGGTTGGCCTGTTTAATATATCTCAGTCACCAGACTGACAAAGCAACACTTATTTTGGTTTTGGCTTGGTTTGGTTTCTCATTTAGTCTTGATGAGACCTGAATTTGCCATTTGGGAAATTTCTCTCTTTAAATCAAAACAAGAACAGATTTAAGATAGTCTTACTATCCTCAAGTTATAAGTAATGAATTCCACTGCATTGATTGGTATTTATAGCCTCTCCCCATATTTGTTAAACCTACATTTTCCTTTTCAGGATCAGGTGGTTATTCCTTGGAAATTGGAAGTCTAGCTGCTGTCTACAGGCAGAAAATAGAAGACAATTCACAGTAAGCAGTCTGTTCTGTTTCCTAATGTTAATTTTGACTAAACTGAAATGTCACCCCTCTAAAGATAAAATTTAAATCATCTATTTTTTAAAATTAAGAATTGATAAATTTCTCCTCTGCGCCCAACTGTGTAATATCATACAAAAAAGTATGAAAAATGTATCCTTTTAGCTATGATGGTTTATATATAGGGAACAAAATAAAAAGACAAATACATTGATTTTCAAAACAAGGTCACATGAGTATGACATTGAGAAATGATGCATCTTATTCCCATGGATCATTTTGTCATCATCATAGCTAACTGAGTACTAAGTACTACTTAAGTGTTTATTAACGCATCTGCTCATAATCTTTTGAAGCTGCCTCCATTGTCCTCATTTTATAAAAAGGTAACTAAAAAGAGGTTAAGTAAGTTGCCCATGGTCAGATTGCTACAAAGTGACAGAGGTGGGATTCAAATCCAGGGTGTCTGCTTTAAATTTGGGATCTAATTTTGAAACCAGTATATAATCTGAGAAAGCAGAAGAAACATGAAAGAGGGAATGAGAAAGGTTCTTAATGAACGTATGGTAAGAAACAGATTATGAGTCATGCAAGGAGTAGATGGACAAAGGCTGATGAGTTTAGCTGTCATGATTTGTCCAAATGGGATGGTAAAAGGAAATGTCATTCATAAGAGGTGGGTATAGGCCACACTAGCAAAAAGCACTGAAAGCCAAGTAGAAGCGAAGCATTTAGATTCAACAGACACTAAAGAACAAGTTCACTGAGAAAGATCCTTCGGCTGCTTTAAACAGGTGAGACTGGAAGTAGAGAGGGTCTCCTGATGAACAGACCGAACAGGACCTTGGTTGGTGGTGGTTCTGGTCTACTGAGGTAGAGATGGGGAGGTTGAAGACTGATGGCTGGGCATCTTGTAGTGGTTGATGCATTCATTCTGGGTCTGTTGAGTGTCACAGAGCTGAGTAATGCAGATTCCTCACTTAGCGAGGCCATGGACAGAGCTTTGTACTCCTCTCTATAGCCTAGTGTACTCCATTCTGTTCCCAGCAGCAAAATATGCCAAAGCAGACAGAGTGAACCTTGGTGCCTTCCATCAGAAAGATTACAAGAAACCTCTTGTCTTCTCTACCATTCCTTAAAGGATTTTCCACTTCTCTTCCCAAAAATGTACTAAAAACATAGATGTGTTCTTAAATATTTGGAGGTTTTTTAGAAAAGGCCCAGACATTGCTTATAATCTCACATATTAAGATTTAATTGGGATTTAATTCTGAATGTGTACTACGAATTCTCTAATAACACTGACAGTATGGGACAAGAATGATAGAAAGTAATTATTTAGTAGATGAGCTTACTTCTTTACTCACTGTACACTTGCTTATTTGACACTTGATCTGTGACAACCTCGACTAAACTTCTTTTAAATCAAAGTCTGGTCCAGTCTCTATCATCCGCCCATGATCATGATCGCTGCCACCAAACAGCACAAACAGAGTCACCACACTCCTGATTGGGTCCCGATCTCCTAAGGAACAGAGCTGGAGAATGTGGTAACTTGATGGAGCTCATTATGTTTCTTTTCATTACAGGGAAAGCACCTCTATCAGCAAGAGAGTGGTATCTACAGCAGGCAGCTCAGACACCAGCCTCCCTGTTGACTCTGAATACTGTGTTAATCCATTAGCCCACCAAGTATTTTCTGTTGCTCAAGACTTGCCAGCACTTTCCATGCAGAACAGTCTGAATGGACAAGTAGGCATCCCCCTTGCTCCTGTGTCCTCTAACGTGGAGAGCATGAAGCCAGCTCTGCTTGCTGGCCAGCCCCTGGTGTATGTGCCTTCCACCTCACTGTTCATGTTGTGTGCAAGCCTGCGGGAGGAACCGTTCCCAGAGTCCTGTTCAGAGGGGGATGGCAGAAGCTTGGAGGTCCCGCCCACGGTAGGGCTATCCTTGGCACCCTCCAGTCAGAAGCGCCTCTGTGAGGACAGGAAGCCCTGGGAGGAGCACGAGCCTGCCACTAAAAGACAAAGTCAGGAACTTGAAGACAGCCCCTTATCCCTGGTCATGCCCAAGGTAAGAGTGTGGGTGAACTGTCTGGTGCCATCCCGTTATCCCTGAAGACACAGAGAAACACATAAGATACTAATAAGTCCCAGCCTCGGAAACCTAGCAACTTAGTAAGACCCTGTCTCCAGATAAAAAACAGTCTGGAGATATAGCTCATTGCTAAGGCCCTGTCTTTAATCCCTAGTACCACAAAAAGAGAAGGAAAAACAAAAGTGATTTTTATAAAAATTACAGTTCTTTCAATATGTCAAAAAGTAAAGAAAAAAAAACTTTATCCATTAACTCAGCACATAGTGGCAGCCACTGCTAACAGTATTTGTTTAATTCTCCTCAGTCTTTTTTACATACTTTTCAAAACAAAAAAAGTTTGGGATCACTGCAGTAGTCATCTCAGCCCAGGACACAGCTGAATTCCAGAGTTGGGAACATGGGTGCTAGCTGGTCAGTCAGCAGTACCTGTGTTACTCAGTTCTCTTCACCCAGTGATCCCTTTTCCCTAGCTACAAAATGCTAAGAATAAAAAGATGAGCTATCCACATCTCCCACTTAGTAGCCATGCAGCGGTTAATGACATATGTCCAGTAAAACTCTCAGAAAGCAGAAGCACCTCCATTACAGCAGTTTGCCGTGGGTCAGCTGGACACACTTCATGGAAATTATTAATTAAGAACCTTGCTCCTAGATGCCTTTCTCTTGCCAGAATGCTTTTTTCTAATTCTATATATAGATTCTGTATATCTGGGGTTGCAGATCAGAAATGGAAATCTGACAAGCATATTTCTTAGACAACCAAGAAGGCTTTGGGCCAGCCCACAGTTCTTAGAAGGCCCCCAAAAGCTGTAGCATCAACACTTTATGTGTTACCAGGTCAGAAACTTATTTCATAGTCTAAACACCATGGCCAGATTTCCATTATCATTTCTATATTTAGGAATCACGAGCCTATAATAAACATGGTGTAACATTCATTTTTACACTCTTCCTGTAAACAGGTTGAAAACAACCGATGCACATGAATCACTGTGGCACACGACTGCTTTACCTTTTTGTTTATATGTTAGGTATTTTGAGAAAAGTGTTGTGAGACTGATTGCTGGAATTTTGACTTGCTCTTGTGTTTCCTGGTTTGGTTAACTTAGAAACCTTCAGATTCCATTGACCCTGCCTCTGGCAAGACTATGGGCAACAGGGGCTCTGTGTTCCTAGAAGACACTCGTGTGAATGGTCCACACCCTGCTGTGGAAGAGGTTTTAGGAAATGCTACAGCAAACTGCTTTGTTTCTTCTGAGGGTGGAAATCCTTCAAGAAACGCAGATACTGAAATGCCTTCAAAAGAAAATGAAAGCACCAAAGAACCATCTTTGCTGCACTATCTTTATGTGCAGTCTCCAGCCGGTAAGAGGTGTCATCATGGCTTTGCAACCTTTATTAGTCACTTTCTCATTGCTGGAATAAAATACTTGACACCTGAAACTTAAAGGAAGAGAAGTTAATTTGGCTCACAGTTTCCAGTGGGTTCATTCCATGGTAGGCTGGCTCCAAGGCAGAAATAGCATGGTGGAAAGGCATGGCAAAAGAAAGTTGTTCAATCTGTGGCAGCCAGGAAGTGGAGAGAGAAGAGCCAGAACAAGAGATACATCCCCCAGGGGCATACCCCTAGTGACCCACTTTCTCCAGCTGGGCTCCACCTCCTCACAGCATATTCAACTGCGAACTCATCAGTGAATTAATCCACCGATGGGTATATCATCCCTGTGATCTAATCACCTTCTGAAAGCCCCACCTTTGAACACATGAGACTTTTGATCCAAACCATAAGAAGTCCCTTTTAGGATACAGATCATAAATTAGATTTTTAAAGTTTTGTCTGTGTCACTGACCAAAGAAAGCAGTTCATTGATATACTGCTGTCTATTGCTTCTGACTCATTTTACATTTAGCCTTCTTGTTTTCTCTCTATATAAAATGGAGAGGCTGCTCTATTTTCACCCACTGCAGAAATAATGGGAAAATAATTCGAGCAAACAATTTTTTTTAAAAAGTATATTAAATTTTATTTGATAGAAAAGCACAGCAATTTTTAATTTTTTTTTTTTTATAATTCAACTGAATCTGGCATTGGTTCAGAGTGTTAATAGGAACCTGTTGGCCATTATGTGCAGTCAGCATTCTTGAGTGTGTTGAAGTACCAGAAGTACTGAGTACATCGTTATGATCTGGAGTGAAAGAGCTTGATGTTTAAAACCACTTACTATCTATATGAACTTAAGATGAGCATGCAAACCTCCTCGTTGGTACAGCAGCAGCAGTGATAGTACCTGCTTCAGAAGAGTGCTGTGAATACTGAATTAGATTTAATACTAAATCAAAGGAACTTAAAATGTCTGGCACTTAGTAAATAGTAAATGCTCTTACTATTAAAATGGAGTTACAGTAGAAACCTAACTTGTAAGATATTTTCTGTAAAGCTTCTCTTGATGTGAAGTTGCTTAAATTGATTCTCTCAGTTTTTTGTTGGTTAAAGCCTGAGCTGCCAGAGCAGATTCGCTGAGTATCTGTTATTATTCACTTATCATTTCTTTAGCCTTGAGTGCTTATTGTGAGCATGGTATTCAGTGTTGGGGTTACTTTGAGCAAAACCAGACTCAGCTACTGCTCAATGAAAATTATAGCCCAGCACAGAGATTTTTACTTTTCTTTAGCCATATACTATTAGTCGGACTGGAGAATCCTATGGGTTCCTCTTCACAGTGTTTACAAGTGCAGAGAATTGAAAACACAGGCTTACTAAGAACCAATGATACTGAAGAACAAGTAGAAAAATAATTTTTGAAATTATTATAGTAATGAAAAGATCTGGCAACAAGTCTAAAATTGCCATCATTTCAAAGTTGCACCAAGTTAAATAGTGTAGAAATCTGCAATAGCTAGAAAATAATGTGAACATATTTCTACTTTGTACTTGTGACAAAGTCTTTTTTTTTGGTACCAGGGATCAAACTCAGGACCTTGAGTTTTCAAGGCAGGCGTGGTGCCACTGAGCTAAAAAATCCTTGGCCCATGCCTGAGGGATTTAGCTCAGTGGTTTTGCTGCCTGCTGAGCAAGTGCAAGGACCCGAGTTCGATCCCCGGTACCAAAAAAGAAAGAAATATAAATTTTTAGTTAGAAGTTCATAATAATAAAAATAATTTTTCCCTTCCAAGTTTGACTTTCCTCCTCATTTGGGGTTCAGGGGAACTTACTGTGAGAACCCTCCACAGGCATCTCCCACACAGTCATGCAGGTAAATGTGGAAGTGTAGTCTCAGCCACTGATGTGACAGAACCATGTGAGCTGAAGAGCACAGATAGGGGGTTTGACCTGATCAGGTGGGACAAGGTTCATGGACTTATCGTGGACTCCTATTAGAAAGGTCCATGAAGGATGTGACCGTGAATGGACTCTTTATGCTGTATTGATTTTCTTTGTTCTTCTGTTTCAGGATTAAATGGCTTCAATGTGCTCTTCTCTGGCAGTCAAACCCCCCACACTGTGGGACCATCCTCAGGTCAGCTGCCGTCCTTCGGTGTTCCTTGCATGGTCTTACCGTCTCCGACTGTGGGCCCTTTTCCTGTTGTCTATTCTCCTGCAATGCCTGTGCCGATTTCTTCTGCTCCTGGCACTCTGCCAAACACAGGACCTGTGAATTTCAGCTTGCCTGGCCTTGGATCTGCAGCTCATCTTCTCCTCAGCCCTGCAGCCATGATTAATCCAAAGTCATCCACGCTCACTTCTGCAGACCCTCAGCTTCAGGGTCAGCCCTCATTGAACCTGAGTCCTGTGATGGCAAGGTCACACAGTGTCATCCAACCCGAGTCCCCTGTTTATGTGGGACATCCAGCCTCGGTCGTAAAATTACAACAGGTGAGGCCTGCCGGCTCCATTGCTGCATGTAACTAGTTCTCACTGTAGTAGCATGGCCTAGGATAGAGGTGTTAGGGCAAGCTCTACCCAGCTTCCATTGTGGACCCGAGTTACCTGTTTCTTTTACAAAGCACTGAGATACAAGGTGAGCCATCCTGTGCTTTACAGATAAGAATACTTTTTTCATTCACTATTCTCTTTCCTAGAATAAAAGCAACCTATCTTAGGCATTTAAATAAAGGTAGATTTTTGGGGAGCCCTGCCTATTTAGATGTTTTCAGTGATCTCCAAGCCTTCATTTCATTAGGTCATTTAAGGGCCAGGGATGTAGCTCAGAGCACAGTGCCTGCCTGGTCCTGAGTTCAATACCCAATTTTTTAAAAAAAACCTCGATCATTAGGTCATTTAAGGAAACCATCCTAAATTTTAATTGCATAGGATAGAATGAAGGGAAATAAGTCTTGATACTAACTCCATTTCTTAGCATCTTTCTTAAAATGTGATGTCTAGGAGATAATAAGTATATACATATTTATTTATAAAAAGATACATAATTAAAATGTACATATATAATAAGTATAAATGAATCTATTTGTCCCTCAAACTCAGTAAATCTTTACTTAATTCCTATAATACAAAAGGCATTATTTAGAGTAATTACTTACTATTCCAGAAAAAATTACTTTTAACAAGTTATTCAAAGGCTCATAAATATGCCAGGTATTGAAGTAATCATGTGAGGTTTTTAAACAAGATAGTTATAGCATAACATACACTTTATTGCAGTGCTGTGGAATCAAACATACTAGAAAAGAGCTCTCGTACTGAGCTACATCACCAGCCCCAGCATGTGTTTTTTCCCAGGACTTATGAGCCAGACGGTGATCTAGGCACTGAAGATATAGCAGGATAATGATCCCTGCCATTTTAGGACACATTAAGGGGATAAATTTAGCATAAGAGGATAAATAGTAGTAAGTAAACAAAAAGAGCACACATGTACAATTACTATTTGTATCACATACTCAAGTGTTTTACAAAGATCATCTTGTTTAATTCTTACAGCCCTTGAAGTTGGTACTTCTGCCATCCCCACTGCATTGATAAAATAGCTAAGGGAAAATGGATTAAATAATTTTCCCAAGGTCACACAGATGGGAGAGCCAGACCCTGTCCATGTCTGTAACTTCTTTGGTGCGTGGGCTTTGCCCACTCAAAAGAAATTAATTTCCAGTAAGGCTAAGGGTTGTGAAGAAGATAAAAGGGATGGGTGTGACAGAAAAACAAAGTCAAGAGAAGGGGAGACCTGCACAGGGATCATAATGACACAAGTCAAGAAAGAGCTTCAAGTTCACAGACTGAGAAGAGTTTGACTTTGCTTCTGGTTTTGCTCTTTTTATTTAGTCACCTGTTCCAGTGACACCCAAAAGTATGCAACGCACACACCGTGAGATGTTTTTCAAGACACCTGGCAGCCTTGGAGACCCTGTCCTTAGGAGAAGAGAAAGGAATCAGTCGCGAAATAGCAGCTCAGCCCAGAGGAGACTAGAAATCCCCAGCAGCGGGCCAGACTAAACTGGTGCTTTGGCAGATGGGGTGGGATCAGACCACCTGAATTTCCCTGTGTCACAGGCTATGTCCTAAGTGGAACATAACCATCAGTCCTCAGCTCGTGTCCTTGCTCTCTCTTTCATTCACTGGTTCTGTTATCTTCTCAACATCATGGATCATCTACGTTCCTGAAAGTAGTTATTACTAATTGTGCTTGTAATGCCAGCCAGAGCTCAGACTCTGCATGGTGTCACAGTGAAAGCACTGACTGACTAATGTGGTTTTGATTCAAGAATCATCTGATTCCTGGACATAGATCTGAACAGGCTACTGGAGCCTTGTGGTTTTCCTGAAGGGGGGCTGTCTAGCACTTAACCAGGGTAAACTTGCCCTGAGTAAATCTGTGGTGAGAGAACTTTCTTTCTGCAGTTTAAAAAAAGCTACTGCTTCTTTAGGCTTCATCAGGAAGCTACCTTCAGTTATGAATCCTATGGTATTATTTATTTTGTTCCTAAAATGGGATTTAGTGCAAAGAGTTTACAACTACAGCCTGACACATACTTTTCAGGGTATGACGACTTGAATGTTTGTACTTTTTCCTCTAATTTGCCCTGCACTTATTCTACAACCTAGTAATGTGGATAAATGTATATACATGACAAATATCAAGACCAAAATAACTGAATGACACTTGGCTATAACTGAACTGTGCTAACCTGATCCAGTCATGAGAACTAAGGTGAAGTCTAGGCACCTAATGGCTGCTTCTCAAGTAATGTGAGAACAATGAGGTTTTGCTATTTGTAAAAATTCTACCATGCTCAGTTTCCTTCATTACATGCCCTATGGTTTTTTATTATTATTATTATTTAAATGTTAATTGTAGCGTACCATGTATGGATGCCTTTTAACAATTGTTTGTAAAAATGAATCGGGATGGTAAAAAGTAATTACTTGGAAAACCAGAGCCTAGATGAGACTTTTTGATTGAAATACTGAAGAGTAAATGGTATAGAAACAGATGTAGGTCAGTAAGTGACTCTTCTGGGTTTCTTTTTTAAACTTCTTCTCTTCTTCTTTCTACCCTTTGGAAGGGTAAAAGGAAAAATGGCCACATTATGTTTCATTGCCAAGAAAATGCAAACCACAGTTAAATGGTATTCCCCCACAATAACGGTGAGTGCAGAGATTCATTGTTCTAGCACAAATACAATTCTGGAAACTGTTATGCAATATCCCTTTATAAACCAGATTACTTTAGGGGTTCATTAAGGAACCAAACTACTTCATTGTATTCTAGATTTATTGATATTTACTTCACTCTATTTTCTTCAGATGGTATCCTTTCTTCCTTCTCTACTTCCTTTTCTTCCCTTTTCTTTCATTGCTCTCTTCTCTTTGTTAAACTTCTTGTATTAAACTTTTATCTTAGATTTAGAATCTTAGTATAGAGCTATTTTTTGGGGGGGCCCAACAAAATGTTATATGAAAGAATAAAAATATTAATTTAAGAGACTCTGGGAGTCTGAGTAAAGTAGCTTTATATTAACTACAGAATACTATTAGCCTTATTACCCCCACAAGATTTTTGAAAACTTGAGGTAGGTAGCCAGATTAAATAAATTTGCTACTTATGTCAAATTTTTATCAACACTAAACTTTTAAAGTTTACAAGATGGTATTTTTTCCCTTTTTTCACAGTCTTCTCTGAAGTTAGCTTAAGAATGTGGTTCTAACCATCAACAATTGCATAGTAATGATTACTCTGAACTAATACTGAGGGTTCCTTATCAAAACAAATGAAAATAACCTTTTTTGGGTAGATTACAGGATATGCAGCATATAAATCTGGGCAGGGTACGTACATTTTAATTCTATCATGCTTAAGAACATCCACAAAATATCTTCACTGAAAGGGCTGTGTTTAGATGGAAACAAATTGGTTTTTTCCTCCCTCACTGTTTCTGGATGCTCTCTCCATACTTGTTTGCTGTCTTTTTCTTTAACTCTCTAATATGACCATATTAAGCTCAGAGAATTCATGGTTCTTGAGAGGTATTAAGAAACAGTCCCACAAATAATAATGTGACAACTTTGTGACCATACTTAGCAATAGAAAAATGACTTGTATTCAATACCGATTTCTTAATGTGGCTTTCAGATATGTAAAAATAATCAGTGGTTGTTTCTGTCAGGAAAATGATTCTCTTGCAGAACAACTGATGATAGTGAAGCTGCTAAGCCAGATTTGGATATTTGGGGTAGGGAAGAAGCAGTGGCAATCTTGAGTCTATCATTGTATAATTTAGTAAAAAAAAACCGTAATTGTTGGTGATCCTGCTAAGGAAATGGAGCTGAGTCAGCACTGAGGATGTGTGTGCCCTCCACGGTCCAGGGTTTGTGAAACCCTTTCGTTCTGGTACAAGAGTTGGGGGTATAACTTTTATACTTGAATCTACCTACCGAGTTTACATTCTTCAATTCCTTTTTGTAAGGTGCTATTTCTGTATTTAAATAACTTTTTTAATGTAAAGCTGCTTTCTGCTTATCCTGTTGCACTGCTAGCTTTATGTAGGAATTAATTTTATTGCTGCTTACTGCTCTTGTTTTCATATTTAGCTCTACTCTTATCTCTAATAGCTATACTGTTTTTAGCTATCTACTTGTAACTTTGCTACTTTACATGTAAACCAGCTTTTTTTCTTTTAGAAAAATATTAAGCTTTATAAAATAGCAATAAAAAGTAACACATTTAGTAAAAGATGTTAGTCGTATTTCTTGATGGGCTTTACATACCATCTTCAGTAAAATCATTGACAGTTGCAACATGGCCAACCTGACCCTCAAAAAGCCAAGTTGCATCTTTGCTGAGACCTTCCAGTGGCTTCCAAATGCCAAAAATTACTGCATCACAGTTACACAAGAGCGTGGGAAGATTGAAGGACTATGCTCCTTGGCTTCTGTTTTCTAGTGAGTTCACATTGCTGTCAGTTTGGAGCTTCCAGGTGATTCTGAGGAATATACAGGAATCAAGGAACCATGCAGAACACCTCCAACCTCTTGTAGTGGTCCATGTTAGGTGCTTCTCCATTTAGCAAATGCTTACCTTAATGTCAAATTTTATTAATTAGATTTAATATGATTTCCCCGGGCTTGTTATACATCCAGAGTCATCCATGTTGCACTGTTGTCAGCTCCCCCTGCCGAATTGTGAGGTGAGACTGCCAGATGTCAGAGCTGCTTCACATGGACAGCTCCTCAAAGGACTCATCTTGGGGTGGAACCTGAACATCCTGTGATACAGGCAATTCATTTTCCTCCAGCTACCATCTTCCCATAGCCTCTTTGACTTTTCTGAAGTGCACACCTCACATACTCAGGCAGGATTTGAAAAAGTTACAGACTTTCCATTACCCTAGTCAGTGCCCTTTTCCCTAATTCTAAGAAAGCCCAACCAAACTTACAACAACTTCTTCACTTCCAAAGCTGGTGGCTCACCTGTCTTTCCCCCATGCAAGTCAGATACCAAGAACCCAGTCCCTGTTGCAGGAAGCACAGGCGTTAGAGCTAAGGACACCCAAACAGCGCCCCTCTGTGGCTTTTAAGTGCAGAGGTGAGCAATCATCATTTTCCAAAGAAAAACTTCCCTAAATCCATTTCTATTTCTATTCCCTCAACCATTTTCATGCCCTTGTGAGAGAGAGGATTTAGTAGTTGTATAACTGGTTTTGCAAAACCTCCTTTACCAATTCTACGGAGTCCAACAACTTTAGAATACAGCATTTACAAGCTTGCCCGTTTGTTATCCTGTTAACAATAGTTAAAAGCTTCCATTGTCCAGGATTTGCATGTTCCTGGGTGATTGTTGTAGCACTTATTGTTTCATATTTGTCAAAGTAATATTTATCAAAGTAGTGTTTGAGAGCTATTGTTTTTAGTGTTAAAATTTATGTCCTTTCTATTTGAAAATGCTTCCAAATATAAGACATTATGACATGGTTTTGTTGTTGTTGTTGTTGTTGTTGTTTTGGTACTGGGCATCAAACTCGGGACCTTGCATTTGCGAGGCACTTGCAAGGCACCGGAACCACTGAGCTAAATCCCCAGCCCCCCAAATATGAGAAATTATACCTAAGCTAAAATCATTTTTGCATTTTCTCACATCTAAATCTATTTTTATAAATGGTCCACTAGCCTGCAATTTGGCTCTCCTATAGAAGCATCCAGTCTCCCCACCTGCGTTGAAGAACTCAGCCACTAATGGATATTAAAAGTCAAAAGTGGGTACTTCTGATAAAGTTTAACAGTTAATTTTTTACTCTAAGTTTTACTAGAGGCTTAAGTTCATAGGAAAGTATATAACTTTTAAAAGCTGGTTTGATTATGAGAACACTTTCAATAGCATTTTATGAGACTAGATTTCAGCAGAAGATACTTTAAGAAATGGATCAACCCTCCATACAAACTTTCAAAATATCCTTATTTTTCCCTGAAAAGAAAAATGATTAGGATTCTTAAAGGCCAAGATCACAGATGACTTTTATCTGTATTCACGGTGCCTGTTACAAAATGTACACCCAATAAAAAATTGGAGAAAGAATAATGGATGGATAGATTACCACAAATATTGAAAGAAAAAAAAACTTTGAGGGCTCTCACATCACATGGTTCCACTCTGTATAACAGCTATTTAATAAATTACTGCCATATAGCTTGGTGGAGTTTTTTGTTGTAGTTGTTTTTTAGTTCATAAGAATGGGCTTCATTGTAGCACCAATGTTCACAAATTTAATCGTGACAGTCCCGCTTTTAAATTTCCAGAAGCATCCTACACTTCTTTTTCTTAACTCTGGCATGCCTTTCCAGTCCCTTTCCCAATTTTGCCCTGCCTTGCCAACTAAGGAAGTTACTGCTTTTTGACACAGCACTCATTTCTACTCCCCTTCTATCACAGGGACTGGAGGCCTGGAAACTACATTTCCCAGATTGTCTTGCTACCAGGTTCTAGATGGGATTTTGTCACTAAGATACACACACAAGACTGGTAGATGGAAAGGCTGTTGTTCCTCTCACAGTAGGAGCAACTCATGTAGCAGACTCAGTGTTTACAAAAGTCGTCCTAGTTCAGGACTGTGGCAGCTATACAGCAGTGCTTTTAACCTGTTTCCACCCATCAGGAGAAAGCAGCACCTTTACATCCTCTGGGTAACAGCAGTTGAGCTATGATCTAAACATTTTACAACTCCTCTACTTTTCCTCCCTTCTCACCATTACGTAAGTACCTAACTCCCTGTATTAAAACCTTCCTGCTAGAAATCCCTGATGTTTCTAATTTCTACACAGAACTCAGCAGTCCTATTTCCCACCTTTTCCCCGACTCATCCTCTGTCAATCACTCCAGTTTCTATGCTTTATTAATATTATTTTGTGCACCCATGTCTTTGCACCAGCCATGCCCTCTTCCGAAAATGCACTCCTCGTACCCTCACTTCTCTTTATCATGGATTGTCATATTCATTCTTCAAAACCAAATTTTCAAGTCTCTCCAGCAGGAAGAATGAGTTGTTTTTCTCACTGCACCATGAGATCTTCCAGGGCAGGAATCAAGTTTTTCTCTAGGGCCCAGCATTGTGCTTCATGGATATATGAACAGTGAACCCAGCTGAAGACATAGAGTAATGCACCCTAAGCTATCAACAAGCTGTAGCTTAATACGTGATGGAAGCAGGAAAATGGTAAAATAGCAGTGTGTCACAAGAATCAAACAGTCCATGCATAACCTTACCCATCGAAGGCAAGCTGATCATAGATTCACTCAACATTTACTGCTCCTCTGCAAACTAACAGTTTAGGAAACTTTCTGCCCTTCTTATATCTGTCTTTGATAATGGAAGAGAATTATAGAAATTTAGTGCACCAAAACCTTTGAAAATTGTCCTATTCACAACCTATTTTACAGAGAAAAAAATACAGAGTCTGTCAAAAAATGTGATATGCATTTCAGGAAAAGAAAAACTTGTATAAATTTTTTAATATTCAATTTATTGCAACATCTTGAGATTAATACAAATTACCTTTGACCTCTACAATTACAAGAGGTGCTCAAAATGGTGGCCTTTAGCTTCCAGACATTTATTAGTGTGGCAAACTGCTGCTTGGGTAACATTGGTCATGAGATTGCTGCACATAGGTTTTCAATTTCTTCTCTAAGGGCCAGCGATGTAGTGAGTTTTCTGTGATATACAACATCCTCTATGGTATCCCATATGAGGGTAATACCATCTGTTGAAAAAACATCATATTATTTTTCTTTTCCTTAAGTGTGTATACATTTTTTTGGCGGACTAAGGTTAAGCAACTTGCCCTGGATTACACTTACTTTAATTACAGAGCTGACACCAGAACACAAGTCTCCCCAATCCCCAGTCTGGTACATTGTCCTTATGCCATACCACTCATAAAGGTAAGCTGTTGTAATAAAATGCTGAAGAAGTGGTCCAAATAACTTATCCCATAGATTATCTGTACAATTTTCAGGCTGCATGGATTTTATGAACCATTAACTTGGGTGTGCAGTCCTCTTAGACTAAAATAATGACTGTGCAGGCTGAATATATACAAAACACCCTTAACATTTGAACTGAGTTTTGGAAGATGCATGAGAGATTGTCAGGTATAAGAAATGGGAGTGGGAGGAGGCATTTTAGACCAAGGGAGTGATTGGTGTGAAGGATGGATGCATAATTTCAGTTTTTCTGTGACCTTTATAAATTTGTATCAAAACATTAAAATATCACTTTGGTTATAAATGTATAGAAAAATGGAAAATTAGTAAAAGTAATATTTAGTATATAATGTAAAATACTGGAAACACAATTATTTTATTTCTTTATACACAATTTTATCAAGAGCAGCTTAAAAATCATTTACTTTTTCATGCAACTTACAATGAGTACTGAGCATCTTTTCTGTCTTGGTAAATGTCATATTCCTTTCTGAATTTGGATCATCTTCTAATATGCTATCCTGTCTAGTTTTGATTCGGCACAATGTCTCCAAGAGTTTATCTACTGTGAAGTTTCTTCAGGCATCCCTTTCTCTGGGGCATCTTCAGCCTCCTCACAAGCACTTTGCTCACTTGGCCTGGTGAACTCCCCTTCATTAAGTTCCTCTACTTGAACTTCTGGCATCACTGTTAGATGGTGGAAGAGTCACCACCACTGTCCACTATTTAACTACATTTGTGTTCAGTTCCAATTGCATTTCTAGCATGATCGCTTTTTTGTTTCTTTCCTTCATTCTCATCTTTGTTGATCAATTCTCTCTTTGAACCATTCACCTTATCAAAATGAATATGTTTTAGCACTGGGAAGTAATGAGCCAATAAGACTCCCTGTTTTGCTATTTGTATGAAAAGACTTTGTGCATGAACAAAAGTTTGAAAGAAGTGAAGTGATTGGTCACTGATCATGATGGGCAGCAGTTACTGATTTGTGGACTGAAGCAGTAAAATGTGTATGCACTGTATAGTAGCTGAAATTTGAAGCGTTTTACTGAAGAACTGATGTTGCTGTTGAACTGGTGTGCATGATAACTGAAATGCACATTTGGTGGTTGGAATTAGTTTGTTTTAAATTTTTGTCCTACCTTGTGGCAGAAACTAATCTCAGTAAACTCGGTACAGTCAGTTCAGTCCTTGTTTCACATATACTCCCTGAACCCTCTAAAAACAGTTAGAGTACTTTAGTGACAAGTATTTAAAAATGTAACTCACGCAGCCTTGAACAAAAAGAGGCACAGAGGTAGGACAAGGATTCTAGCTAATTTTTACTCCAATTGCTTTGGTCTGCCTTATTCCACACGTCAATTTTATCCACAGGCTGTAGTAATTATGGTCCCACACAAGCCAAGTTCAAAAGAAATAAAACAACTCTTTGGAATTTTTTTCAGAGGAGTATGAAAGAATTTTCTTAGGCTTCCCCAGAAAAATCTCTGCTCAGTTCTTTATTTTTTTCAATTTTTATTTTTTATTAGTACATGCCTGCATTCCTCATGGGGAGCTGGTATATATATATACAACACATCTTAATTCCTTTTTCATCTCCTTCCCCTCCTCTCCCTCTCCACTCCCCCTGTCTCCTAGACTCCTTCCCTTTTGTAAAAGCTCTATCTCCCTATTTCCTATTATCTACCTTTTATTTTGCTCTTTATTTCTATTTTGGGTTTCTCATATAAAAGAAACCATGAGATGTTTAAGCTTGTGTGACTAATTTATTTCACTTAACATTATGGTCTCAAGATACATCTATTTTCCTATAAATATCTCATTTATCCTTCTTCATGGCAAAGTACTTGGACCTCAATATTCTATTATGTATAAATACCACATTTTCTTTATCCATTCATCTGTTGATGGATGCATGCTGCTTCTAAGATTTAGTTATTATGAATTGTGCTGTTATAAACATGGGTATGCATGTATCTCTATAATGTGATGTCATTAACCCTTGGAAAGATACCTAGAAGAGGAACAGCTAAATCAAATGGAATTTCTATTTTTAGTTTTTTGAGGAATCTATTCTGATTCTGTAGTGGTTGTACTAGTTTACATTCCCACCAAGAATGTAGACAGGTTTCTTTTTTTGCCACAGCCTCATTAGCATTTGTTATTATTTGATTTCTTGATGATAACCTTTCTTTCTGGAGTAAGGTGAAATCTCAGTGTTATTTAAAATTTGCATTTCTGTAATGGCCAAAGATGTTGAACATTTTGTCATGTATTTATTGGCCAATTGTACTTCTGAGAAGTGTCCATTCACTTCATTTGCCCAGTTTTTAATTAGGTTTTTTATTGGGGACATCTAATTTTTTTGAGTCTTTCATATATTCTGATCAGTACTTATAGAGCCAAATTACTTTACACATGTGCTGTGGCTTAAATATGGGTAACATCCCCCCAGAGGCCCATATGTAAAGAGCTTGGTGCCCAGGGTTGAGCTATTGAAAGTGG